TAATAATAATAATAATAATAATAATAATAATAATAATAATAATAATAATAGTAATAATAATAATAATAAATTCAAAAGCAATGCACCCTCACATAATTATCATTAAAATCAAAATCACGGTAATCTTGCTTCCAACATTTTTATAAATCCCCAAAATGCACGTGACAATCACGTGAACTCAATACAAACAACCCTCAATTCTGCGATGAGCCTGCCCAGACCCCTTCTAAACCTTAGCCCAACGCAAGCTTAGACCTGAAATTAAATTCAGGTTCCCATCGCCCACCCCACCTCTCCTTTCCACAAAAATATTTTCCGCAAGAGTACCGATGCAGTAATAAATAATAATTACATTAGTATCATAATTACTAATTTAAAATAATAATAATGATAATAATAATCAAAAACACAAAAACATATACACATAATCTATACAACGAACACAAAAGGTTCTGCCAAACTCCAAGTGTCTGTAGACGATCGGCCAAATTCTGGCTCCGCCCATCAGCCATTGGCTAAACGCCACCACCACTCCGCTCCTCACGTTATTGTTATTATTAATACTATTAAAAATTCGTCAAACGTCGAACCAATTGTACATCTCGGGGCATTATCGTTACGCGTCTCGCGTGAATGGCACACAGATTCGCATTCTCGAATAATTTCACCAAAAATGCTTCGGAAGCCTGAAATTAAATTTGGAATTTTTTCACAAACCTGAAATTAAATTCCGAAAAAAATTCACTTCTTCTCATCTAATTTTAGGTTCCCCCTAAACCACTAAAATTTGCTCTTCATACCATTCTGTATCTCATTCACTCCTTCCACTAAACGAAAAATCCAAAAACTAAAAATCACTGAAATTGAAGCAAATTAAATTCAGGTCTGTCAGCTCACAAAAAAATGTTTGCAAAAATTAAAAAATTAATTTCAGGTCTCGCAAACTGACCTCCTGAAGACACGCGATTGCGCTAACTTGATAACGATAGTCAGCTCGTGGATCCAGTTTCATTGTAATTTCGCGTACCACACGCGCGAACGGCGCTCGGCGTATCAACAATTCGGTCGATTTTTGATATTTTCTTATTTCCCGGAGCGCATTTTTACCGGGCCTTAAATTATTTATTATTTTGTATTGATGTTATTTATTATTATTTATTAATAATATCATTATTTATTATTATTTATTAATATTATTATTTTTATTAACAACTTTACTCACCTGTAACGTCGCTTTTTGGGCTTAATTGTATCACGGGACCGGTCTCGATCCTCTATAGACTTTTGCCCGAAACGTGGGGCGCCTCCACCCCGCGCTATAAATATAAATTTATTATTATTACTATTTATTTTTATTTGTTTATTATTAATATTTATTATTATTATTGCTATTATTATAATCGTTATTGTCATTATTGTTTAATTTAATAATAATAATAATAATAGTAATAGTAATAATAAACATATATGACTAGCTTACTTGATCCAGTGGATTGGACCGAATGTGTAGATGGCAACATTATGCGTGGCGTTGGTTCGACTGAAATTTGAAAATATTTTCAATTTTCATGAAAACAATTAAAATTTCACCTAAAATTAACCTGGAATTAATTTTGAGTTGACCTGAAATTAGAGTAAGCAAATTAAAAAAATTTGATTTAGTTGAAGACCTTGCAAATCATGAGACAAAGAGCGTGATATTGACTGATCGGAAATATCGATGTGCTTAGCTGGAGGTTTGGTGCGCACCATCGTTACTTTTATTTATTAGTGATTTTAGTCCGCGTAATCTGAGTGAACTGAAATTACCTAAAAATTGAATTTTTACTAAATGAAAAGAATAATTTTTACGAAAACGTTAAAATTTAAAATAGTAAGGCACTTTTTGTAATTGACACTACGGAAAATGGGTTAAATCAGTGGTCAGCCCCGGACGAACCGCGTCGCGGGCAATAATCTGGGAAGTTAAAATACCCGGTGAATGATTCGGGAAGGTTGGGAGGAAAAAAAATTGCCCGGGCAGGTAAAAATATCAGCTCATAACGGAAATCATCAAATTTGAATGCTTGCCGGGCGTCGTTCTGGCGCGCATTCTTACCGTCCAGTTCGTCCAAGTTCGCAACGAGAGCAAATTCGTCCAAGTTCGCAACGAGAGCAAAATGAGCCACTTTCTTGAGAGAGCGCTATATTTTAGAGCGGGATTTGAAAAGAGGGTATTGGGGGGGGGGCGGTAATGCTTTTAAGAATTGGAGCGCGTAACCTGAAATTGGAGCGCGTAACCTGAATTGTGGCACCACGCGACGAACCCTATCCAACCACGCGTTATGA